AGCACCAGAGCGTGCTCAGTCGATCCTGAACTCTGTCCTGGACTTCCTTCAACCACAGCCAGACCACCGTTAGCTTACATGAACTTCTTCAAGTACTCTTGAGCCTCATTAAACATTAAAAACTCTCAAGCACCTTTTCAGAAACCCCGAAAAAGCAGAAGAACCAAAACCACCTCATCAACTGATGAGAAACAAGGAGTCCTGGAATTCAGGGGCTCTCAGCTGGAAGACAAGAGAGGAGGAGATGAGGAAACAGGAATGGAAGCATGCATGAGGAAGGACACAGCCAAGCAGGAAAGTCAACCACAAGGAAACAGAGAAAGGTTACAGCAAAGGAGACAAGGAAACATCAGAGGAGATAAGGACTCGGAGGGAAATCGTGCTCCTACCCATCCTCCGTTGTCATGGATCCATCTCCGGAGCGACGGCGAGTCCAGACTCTCCTCCATCCAGCTGGCGATATCATCCATCTGACCTTCGTCGCCCGACTTGGCGGCCGCGGCGCTCAGAGCTCCGCCCAGCTCCATCATGGCGACGATGCGTCCCCAGTTCACGCCGTCCCTGAACAGCTCCTCTCTGATAGCCGTCAGGTGGCGCCGGCGTGCAGCTCCACCGCCGTTCCCACGCAGTCGCAGCACCGTCACCTGCGCAGACAGCTCGTCGCCGTAAAGTCGCTCCAACTCGTCGCCGGCGCTCCGCAGCACGGCCTGCAGGCAGGGTGGGGCCACAGGAGGGTCTAGGAGGAGATGATGATGCCATTACTCTGCGACATGTTTGAGGAAGCGGGTAACTAAGTGGACGTCTCCTCACCTGGACGCGGGGCTCTCTCGTCATTGGCCCGGCGCTGAGGCCAAGCCACGCCCCTGCCGAGCAGCTTGTAGCGCAGGAAGTCCTCCACCAGGTCCCGGCTGCTGTAGGCGGCGGCCATCGCCCCCTGCTGGCTCACCACCAGCACGTCATCCTCCTCAGCCAATGAGAACGCCTTTTGCAGTTGACAGTCACGTGCTGCAACTCCTCACACAAGTATCGATCGCTGATCAGCTGTGCTGTGACGTCAGCGCTTCAGACTCCGCCCACAGCGAAGACGGTCCGAGGATCGGGTTCAGACCGGTTCAGGCTCCGCGCGGTGCTCCGTTACCGGCGGGCGGAGGTGCGCGCGCAGCCGCGGGGCGCGCCGCGAGGACGCGCTCCGAACACATTCAGCGTGATGGCGGCGCGACGGCGCGCGCTGCTTCTGATCAATAACCGATAATCAGTCCGCTCCCTTCACGATGCACGTGCTGCTCACACTCACGCGCAAACAGCGGGCACGCCCCTCCGGGATTCCCCCGCAGCTCCGCGAGGAGGAGGAGCTCTGCTCCGCGAGCGCGCACTTCCTCATCCTACGTCACTCGCATCTGCAGCTCCTCGCGCGTGGGTGCGAGCGTGCACGTGTAAAAATGTTCGTTTGTAAGTGAAACGTGACGTAAGAGCAACAAAAGCCGA